TCCTCGACTTCCCAACCTATTGCAGATGTCATATCATTGAGGATTCATTAAATGCCTGTCTGAGATAGTCGTAAATCAGCAAGGGTATTTTCGTCTATGTACCCCTTATCTTGCACTTTTAAGCCACACGTCTGACTCTCTCTGGTTGAGTGTCCAGTTCATTATGTCATTTCTGACTTCATTGTGCAGAACAACCTCATGATTCTTAGTCTAATTTAGACTGTTTAATTATCAATTAGTAGCCTCTCCAAATCCCGAGGACATGTGGCCAGATCAAAGCTTTAGTGAGCACACTCGAGGGCCAAGGGCACGCAGCTTTCCTTTGGAATGGAGGTACCCTTGGAGCCGAAGACGCGTGTTTGTCATAGGGAGGAGGAACACTTCAGCGCCGAGCATAAGCACTTGCAGAAGAGTAACTCGCCATCAGAGCAAAGGACATGTGTCTCCACCAAGGACAAAAGACGTGCCCTCGGTGCCGAGGTCCTTGTTAGAACAAAAATGTACCCTCAATGCTAAGGACATGTGTTGACCATCCGTTTCTTTCTTAGAAGTGTCTCATCAGTCGAATTTTAGATTATTAACAGATTCAAATATAGATCACAAAAATAAATTTTGTCAGATTTATCGAATTGGATTCAAATTCGAATAAGTCAAAATCTAATTCAAACTCAATTCATTGACAGATCTAATCGAGAGTTATTTATTTTGAATTCCATCAAATCTAATGAAAATAATTTAAGAAAAATTATATACACCGAGAGTTTTGTTGTAATTAAATTTAAAGATACGTGATTGATATCTTTTTTTATTAACGATAAAAGAAGAGCAATGATATTGAGACATAATTTATGAACATAATTTGAGGATATAATGAATTGTCACTAATAATATGATAATGAATTCATTAATTTTATAATGATACTCATCATTAAATACATTTTACTATCATTTCATTGGTAACAACTCATTATGTCCTTAAATTATGTCTCAATAACAATAAAAGAAATACAAAATGTTAAGAAGGAACCATAATCCATGTCCATAAACGCACGGTTGCACCGGATTCCTTACGGATTAATATGAACTGACCATACCACCCATAGTATACTGACCTTTCCCGTCATTATTTCCAAAAAGTCCATGGGTAATTTCGTACTTTGAAATTTACCAAATAAAAAAAGAAAGCGACGTTTGCGTGAAAGCGAAGTCCTTAAAGAGAGAGAGAGAGAGAGAGAGAGAGAGAGAGAGCAAAGCTCTGTTTGTATATGACGTTGTTAGGGTCGGGGTGGGTGTGAGAGAGTGTGTTTGTGTGTGAAATTTTGGCAGGTAAATGTTGACGCACGGGAGAGTGATGAGTTGGAGAAGAGTGGGGAAGTCTCTGCAGGCTGTGGTGGCCCACGGATTGGTCTTCTCGTTCACGCTATTGCTCGTTCTCAAGCTCGATCGATCCTTTCCTCATCCTTGGTGGTTCGTGAATTTCATCCTGTTTTCGCATCCCTATCCTTTTTTGTTGTTCTTTCAGTTTATTAATTCTAGTGAAATTTGAATTTTGTTCCGTTAATCTAATCTTTACCCATAATAAGTGAGTGAGTTTTGAATCATTTGATTGCTACACGGTCAATTGAAGAATAGGGTAAAAATGTTTTTTTGCAATACTTTGTGATTATTACTGAAATGTAGTTTATGATGGGTGCAGTTGTGAAATCATTTTATTCTTCGCAATCACAATCTCCATTGAAAAAAAAAACAAAAGATTGCACCAAACATCATAGTCGGCATCTGAGCCACCATTGCAATGCCATTGCCACCATAATTATACCTCAAGAAACAATTTCGTGTCCCATACATTGGTCCACAACCAACTGGAATTGAAAGAGAGTAGGGAAGTGAGATAGGATGAGAGAAACAAAGAGACACGTGAAGCAAATATGAAAAGACAGAATCAGGGGATGGACGGTAAGTGAATTGGTGAGAGAGAAGATAATTGATTTAGTTGGTATTCTTGTAATTCCAAAGATTATAGAAGGGTATTTCTATCTTTAAAAAATCATTACCATATCCACTCTCAAATTAGGTGAGTGTATTACACATTCTGTTAATTAGATGGAAATTGTAGCCATGCATTTTAGTCCACAAACCACGAAAGGGTTATGTGACTATTTTTAAATATTAGGGAGCTAATGTGCAAAATGGGTATACCATAAGGGGGTAAAATGCCGTTAAAAATATATACTTATATTTCAAATTTAATCAAATATATTAATTGTTCCCACCCTATCATTTTCATGCTTCAATTGAGTTTTTCCTTGAATGTCACCGGTAACTATGTATTTTTTACTTCTTGTTGTGTTAAAGTTTTCTGCAATTTACGATTGGCCTCTATTTTTTGGCTAATGTAGATTGCTGTTTTTCACATGGGTCTCAATGGTTTTGATATGCTTATTTCTTGAATTTTGGTTCAATAGCTTTGCTATTTGATATCTTAATAATAGAATTTGGAAGATAGTTTATCAAATAGATTGTAAAATTATAGATTGTGGAAAATCAATTGCGATACTGAATGGATGATTGATGGAAAATTGGTAGCTTGATTATATTTATTGTAAACGAGATCCTGAATAACATTTTATTATTATGCAATGCTTTCAAAAAATATGAAAATTTGGCTTGTTCAATTGTAAATAAATGTAATTAGCCTCACATTTTTGTGAAGCGTTGTAATTAGTCTTTTTTTTTTATTGTTTTACTTGGATACTTCCTATAAAATCGGCTTGCAATCCTTTTTTATGTTCAATGAATTTGTACATATCTAATTTGTTACAACAAATAAGGATGTATGATTGTTCAATCGATTTTGAGAGAGAAAAAATTCAACGAATGAATTCATAGTTGTGCCCCTGGAACACTCCTGGTGATGAAACAATTTTACCATAAACAGAGAGACCCAAGTGGGCTATAACTATATTTCTCAAGTCTTGTCACCACTGTATTTGTTTTCGTAATTGCCTTTCTCTTTTGTAGAAACCATCATCTACAATGCCATAATCTGAACTAGCAACCTCTTCTTTTTTCTTTTCCTTGCTCAGCCTTTTCTGCCTCTCACTCCTACACTTGAAAAGGTAGATAAAGAATTATTGAAAAATATTAGTAAAAGTAGTTTTTTAGATGAGTTTAAATAGATAGTTGGTAGTTAGTGGGACAAGAGATCAATGGTTATAAGGGACACATGTTAAAATACGATTGGAGGAACTTTTTGAAATCGAATTTAATAATTCAAAATTCTTATAAATTTGAAAGTAAGGAGGGAAGGCTTATCAAAGCCTTTCCCTATATATATATAGATTGACAAGATTATCACCTAACTGATTGCTTTAGGCTAGTGATTTGTTATCTATGGGGTCTTGTGTTAAAGATCTTTCTCCAAATGAAGTAAGAGTGGATTTTGGGCTGGTTTGTTCGCCAAGTAAGCTCCATAGAAGAGAAATGTGAAAATTTGTTGGTTCATCTTGTTAAACATAAGTGGATATAACATAACAAAGCGGTCAAAAAGTTTCTCGAAGCTAAGAAAGAGGTTTTTTATGTGTGTTCGTTGAAATTGGTAAATAGTTTATTCTCAGATTTTGGTTTTGCATAAGGGAATTGATCTGATGCCGACTTATATGTAGTGCTTTTAATTAAATCATTTTTCTATCGGTATATTCTTGCCAAATTATCAACCCCCACGTGGAATAATATATTCTAGCGGATAAAAAGAACAATACAAATAAGAATTTTTTGTAGTAAACACATATTGATTAACAAGAACTTGTAGGTGTTATATAGCTATTGTCTCTTAGGGTTAGGTATTGATAGGTGTTGGATATGAGCAGAAAATAAAGTTCATGTCAGTCCATGCAAGACAGCTTTAGACATAAGAAGCACGAACACGAATATAGGACACGGAAACACGATATTTCCAAAAAATGTAAGGCACGTACATGTTTGTGACACTATAGATAATTGTATTTTCAATATGTATAATTTCTCGCAAATATAGTTATAATAATACATTTTTCATAAAAAAAACTCAGTACTTTATGATAGTTCAGTATTATGTATAGCTTCTAGTTTGATGTTTTAGTCCAAAGTATCATAATAGTCAATAATCATCAATTTTTTTTATAGACAATACTCAACGTATATAATTAAATCATTGCTTTCATTTTCTTAATTCCATTTTATTAAAACTCTTATACACCATTTGCTTTTATTACATTTTGAGTAAATTTTCAACATGTCTAGTCTTGATAATTATATGTTTTTTCATAGTATAAAATACTTATTAATCAAATTTTTAAACTTTGTTAATTACATGTCAACAGATGTTTTTTGTTTAGTAATAGATATGGCCTAAAAAAGCATTGGACATGTCACCAAAGAAGTGTCGGACATGTGTCCAAAACTAAAATTTTATTATTTAAATATGGATACGGATAAAAGAGTATCGGACACATTTTTGTGGAGTGTTGGTGTTCGCAAATATGTCACTTACTTGAGAGTGGTTGTGTTTCATAGCATCATGTATAAGCAATTTTCGGGTAGAACTCATCCATAGCTATATATGCAAATTGGTCCATGTTATTACTTGATTTTTGCTTGTCAATGCACACAATGTCCTGACTATGTAATATTTTAGCATTCAAAGCCCTTGTTTTTCAAATGTTGAACAAGTCTTCCTTGGGTTCATTTTGCAGGGTCGTTTTTGCCCCCCTTTGGTCATTTCATGTGGTTGTAGCACGCGGAAGATTCTCCTTACCTGCTCCGTCAAGACCTCTTGATCGGCATGTATGATACAATAGTTACATGACAATTTCCAATGTCATTCTTGTGAAATTGCAAAATTTATTTCCATAAGCTACATTAATGGCAAAAAATTATACATGCTTTCATGGACAGTGGGCACCATGTCATGCCATCATGGCCACACCATTGCTTGTTGCTTTTGAACTACTCCTCTGCATATATCTCGAGGACAACTATGGTACACAGACGACACCCTTAATAACGCTATCATATTGGATATTATTAGGAACAATCTTGCATTTTTATTGACTTGTTTCTAGTGTTGTTTATATGGGTACATTGGATATATTAATTCTTTTCCTCTATATTTCATGCTATGCTAAGAATGTTACTTTAATTTTCCTTACGTTGACTGCCGTTATCCTATGCTATATGCCTCACTAGACTTCTTTAACTGCCTATCATAATCTTCTTCATGCTTATTGATGTATTTTGTTTGTGAACTGTTATATATGACAGCTGTAAACTTGAAGATTGTATTTTTGCCTTTACTGGCATTTGAAACAGCAATCTTGATTGATAACGTCAGGTAAGGTTCCTTTTCTCCATTAGATTGATGCTGATTGAGGTTATGAAACCTACTAAATTTATAAAATTATGAATCTGTGTGTTGAAGTAATAATATTGATGCAAGGCATGAATGGCATTCACTAAGGCATCTCTTTACTATTGAGGTGCAGTAATTTCCTAGGTTGCATCATGCAAGTACCGGTTTATGTTGGTAAAGTGTGATTTGGCCTTAGTAACCAGTGTATGTCACTTGTTTAGGATGTGTAGGGCTCTAATGCCTGGGGATGAAGATACCATGAGTGATGAAGCGATATGGGAGACACTTCCTGTAAGTCTAATTTTATCATCAGAGTATTGCTCTTAAATCCCTAAAGATGTTAGAATATTTATTTTTCTAGTCTACTGCAATGTGCTATTCAAGTCTTGGACTGTTGGACATGCTTCTAGGTATGAGCTTAAATTGCTAATGCTAGCATGCATAGAAACTTAAACCAAAAAAAAACATTTTGATCTGGACTTTTGAGTTGGTTTTATACAGGAAAAGGGTAACAAGGATGATGGTCTTATATAAGCTAGTTGTCTTCTATTTGAACACATTGTCTTTTTTCAGATTTGAATGCAAATGCATTGTATAACAAATATTTGGAGACAAAGTCAAAAGTTTGCAAAGTGGAGAATCTTCACTCTTGGCTATAATCCATGACTAACCCCTTTTTTCCTTATTTTCATGGGTAAGTTTTCAGCGATAAAGTCCCTAAAAAGAGAAAGAAAAGAAAAAAAGGTGTCCTAGGGCAACCATACCGTGTCCCCAGGGCAATGTTATTTAAGGAAAGCACAATGTCTCAATGGACAACTAGATAAGCTAGCTCTCTTTTTAACACTTTGATTCAGGGAAATCTGGATTGAGATTGATGAGAGAAGATCAATTTAGCCAACCATGTGGAGTTGACAATAAGTTTTGTTGAGTGGGGTGCAATATAAATTATGATAATTTTATGCCTGACTAAAAGTAGTTTCATGCCTATTGGGGAAATAAGATTTCTATGATTTCGTTAGAGGGGGTGTGTTCAATCTAATTATGTATTTTCTGATGGTTTTTAGAAAAAGGAATCTGCTTTCTTATTGATGTCCTTTCTGGCCATAAGTCACGATTTGAATGATTTGAATCATCTCACTTCATTACTTCTATTCAATTAATATTGAACCATGAAACAGGATGTATTGGCCATCCTGTATATTTCTATTATTTTGCTTAGAGATAATCAAGACCTGCTTCTCCCATGCATGTTTAGAATTTGAAAAGCTGTCTGATGTCTGGAGCAATAACTATGGGAATTAGAATGTATGAAAATGTTGCTAGAAGAGAAGTTTCAATGTTTTGGAGTTCTTCAGTTTTGTTAGACCCCAGACCAATGGAGGGTAACCTAGAAGAACCTCTTTGCCATAAGGTATCTTATGTGCTCACTACACAGATGAGAAGTATAAAAGTATGCAAAAGCATGTTTCCTTGTTTTTTAATTCCTTTGGTATATGCAGTGTTGTTGTAAATTTTGATATCTGTTGACTCCTATTAATTTTTTTAATCAATATAAAAACATTTGATGATTTTTGGATACATATAATCACATGTTGACATGCTGTGACTCTTGATGACCTGGAATTGTTAATTTTTTGTGTCAGCACTTCTGGGTTGCAATCTCCATGGTCTTCTTCATTGCTGCAACTACATTCACTCTTCTAAAGCTAAGCGGTAATTTGTTTATTGCATAATAATCAAACATCTATATTGTGGTTGTTTTTTTTTGTGGAAGTCAGGTATTTTGGTTCTTCTAGGAGTAGCATTTGGTCTGGGAATTATCCAGTCCTCATTAGCATATCTGCTGTGTGTTCCAGGAAAAATTGGCATTATTGAAGCTAAAATTGCTGAACCACCAGTCCACCATGGGCGATAACCAGCAGTTGACAATTGATTATTTAGGGTTTTCTCAAACACTGTTAAGTCACAGACTAATAAGATATATATATATATATATATATATATATAAGGGATCCATAGGAGAGAGTCAGGCCTCTCAGGTACAGGACAAAAGCCTAAAGGCAAACTCTGCAACTCCATTACCAAATGTGATCTGGACTGTGGTCAATCCCACTGTTGGTCTTGGATTATATTGTTAACTCTAGAATTCCTTGGCAGCCTTGCTGCCAATATGACTCTCTCCCTCGCGTAAAGGGCTACTTTTGCATCTGCTCTCTCTCCTTAAGTAATTACCGAGGTGAAAGCAGATCGGAAGTAAGTTTCTCACCATCGTAGTGGGACTAGTCTAATAAATTTCACTCGAACTGCCAAGACTATATATATAATTTTCTTCAATTGCTGATGAGAAACAGATCAGACCATTGTTTGAAATTGATTGCAGAAACCCATGTAACTCAAATGCATGGCACACATCTTGTAGGCATGTTTTTGAGTTTTGCTTGAATGAAGATGTATTTTTGTGTAAATTATGTATACAACAAATTCATTCTGTTAAGTGTGTTCTTTTTGACTGCTTTGTATATTTAAGCTGTTTATTCTTGATTTTTCCTGTAAAAATATGCAGGTGATGTAGCTGCTCTTGGTTGGTGGGACTTATTTATTAATTACGGGTACCTATGATTTGTGTCTGTAATTATGTTCGTTATTTGGTTCATCTTCGACACCTTTGCCTGTTAAAAGTAATACTGTGTCTGCTTTTACAGCGTTGCAGAATGCTTTGCCTTTCTTATTTGCACAAATTGGTTTAATCCTGCAATTCATAGGCATTCTCGTCTTAGAGCAACTGTTTCATCTTCGATGCCTATTAGATATCTTGACTGGAATAGTGGCTTAGTAGTGTCATCAGATGAAGATCATCAGCATGGTAGAATATGCAGCTTGGCTGACATTGGTGGGCACATTATGAAAATTCCAATACTCTGTTTTCAGATCCTTCTTTTTATGTATTTAGAGGTATTTCAGGGTCTGAGAAGTGCTTATTTTTGGATGCTGTTGTATGTCTTACCAGATGAACTCATCCTTGATATCTTGTGATTGCAGGGAACACCACCTAGCGCTAGACACATTCGAATGCCAGTTCTATTTTCTCCTCTTTTCTTGCTGCAGGGAGCTGGTGTTTTGTTTGCTATATGTAAATTTGTGGAGAAAGTTATTCTTTTAGTAAATTCTGGAGCAGTTACAGGGAGTTATTTTAGAATACTATCAAGAGCTTATGATCTTTTTGGATTTATGCACCATGGATCAAGGTAATGGCTTGCTAATTTGAATAAGATGTAACCTATCCGTCCAGAATTAATACTAAATCTGAACATAATGCATGCATACCTTACTAATTTTCAATGCATATGGATCACTCGACATCAGATTGCTGGGTTGGTGGTCAATTGACGAAGGAAGTCGTGAGGAACATGCCCGACTTTGTTATGCTGGTGCTTCGGGGTCAGTATTGCTGTATTCTGCAGTGTCATAAAGACGCATCACATAGAACATTGTCTTGATCTTATGTTCATGCATCTGCTCTATTTTTGTTTTCTTGTGCACCATTTTTTATTTGGTGGTAGTTTGTTGGAGCACTCTTAGAGGTGTGCCTCAAATTTCTCTAGAAATTCTTGTGGGCCTTCCCAATTTCTGAAGGATACTTTTGCATTAATTACTAATGGTTGTTACTAATGCTTGGATACATTTCATGCTACACGCAACTATTAGGTTGACTAACTCTCCAACTCAATTTTTTTTAGCTACAGGAACAGATCTCCGTAAGTTGGAGGTGGAGGTGATATAGCGTTTACATGTAATAGTTGAATAGACAAATTAGTAATTATCATGTTCAGTGGCAGAAATTGTTGCCATCGTGGACATTGATGAAGAATGCGGTAGTATTTTTATCATAAATGTTCATTCTCTAATCATGGCCTATCAAAGGATTAACTCTGGAATTGTTGAAACAATCGCAAAAACTGTTAGTTACTCAGTTTGAGTGGTGGTTCAGATGTCCTGAAGCATGGAAAAACCTTCTGAATCACTATCTTGCCTATATAACATTCAAGGCACAAACTTCTGTTTTTCCGTTATTTTGAACATCACTTGCACATTGTAATCTACCCTAACAAAGGAAATTAAATAAACATCATTAGCACTTGGTCTATCATCTTTCATTGTTCATCATTTCAGCAAATAAAGATATGAGATCCATTATGCAAAAGAAAGTGAGGAATGTCCTATTATTTCTTTTTTTGACTATAAATGTGGGGTCTTGCGTTGCACAATGGAGAAATGAGAGAATTCCAATGCTGATGTTGATGTTTTGGTTACATTACACTGATGAGAGAATTCCAATTCGGAAAAGGTGAAATTGTACCAGGAATGGCCCTGCTTTAGCAGTAGGCTGAGAGCGGTGGTGTGAACCTCCGAAGGGGCAGTTGAAATGTACTTAGGGTTCATTTGTTTAAGAGGATTTTGGTGGAAAGTGAAGGAAAGAGCAAAAAAAGACTTACATTTTCAGCGTTTGTTTAGCAGGTAAACACTGGAAAGTGGAAGAAAGCATTTTTCTCGTACAACCCAGCAATGCATGTAAACATGGCTTCCAATTTCTTGTAAATTCTGTGGCGCAAATGTGATAGTATGCCCACAGTACCACGAGTTGTCCTATATGAATTTCTGCATTTTGATCTCCAACTCAGTAATTGTAAACTTCTTTCTTATTTGACCAGTGCCTCTTCATTAACCTATCCTGGGGGCAATATTGTTTTTTTTCCTGATGAATATCAAAGATTAGATGTTTGGTGAAGGGGAGTCCTAAACCATGAAATCAGAGGAGTTTTTGGGGATGTATTGGATGAAATCATGAAAAGATGATGCAAGTGAACTATCATTTGTCCTTACAACAAAGATCACCCATTTAAGATCCATTTATACACTCCTCATTTTGTCTGTTTTGACGTTTTTTGGAGGCTATTGATTTCGATAGTGATCTAGAACAATACTTTTAGTTATCTCTTTTAGTCAAGGATCTGAAACGAAAGCTTGATGGTGTTGAATAATATTTGCTTTTTGTGATGATGTTAATGGGTTTGAAGAAAGATGTCTGGTTTCTTGAGTTTTGGGATATTGGTTGGCATGGTTATGTAATAATGGGATATATTCAGTTATGGTGGATGGATTGGCTAAACAGTCCAAACTAGGTAGAAATGCTTCTCTTTCATCAGATGATGTAACTGTATTCGAGTGGTTTGGTATTTGGCCATAAACTAGAAAATTGGTTTTATTTGGTTGGTGTTGAAGTTGATTTTGACTGATTCAGAGCAGTATCTCATCTTACTTATTGCATATATATTGATATTATGTTGTAGGGTTTTAACAAATTGAGGATTAGGGGGCTCATGGAGGTGTAAATGGTGGGGGTTAGATGGTTAGAGGTGGAGATGATTGTTTGTGGGTGGAGATGGAGAATAGACAATATGAAAGGAGCCATATAGCAGAACTATGGACAATCCAACAAGGCTTACAATCTTGGAGACTGACTCCGTAGAAGCTTTCAATCTGCTGGCTGGAACCCAATCAGCTATCCACCCCTTCCATGTGCTGGTGGACAATTGCAGATTCATCATCAACTCCCTCAATGTTTCTCTGATACATACGCTTAGAGAGGGAAATCAATGTGCTGATGGCCTTGCGAATTTAGGCGTGAACCAGTCTGCTGATTTAGTTGTTCTTGATGAACCACCTGATTGTATTGTTCATTTGCTTAGGGCAGATATATCTAGTACTTGTTTTATTGGGGAACTCAGAACTTGCTGAGGTTCCCTCCACAGCACCCAAAAAAAAAAGGGCCATTTAGTAATTTCCAAATTTTTTCTACAATTTTCTAGTAAAATTTTCATTCTAACCAAACACATATAAGAAAATATGTTTTCCTTTCACTTTCTTTTCTTTTAACTCTACTTTCTACCATTTTCGCCTCCCTTCATTTATTTCTTTCTAACTAAACAGACCCTTAATATCTTCTTGTCAATTTAGGGCTTGATACTAAGGTGCTCATACCATTGGTATGTGGCATAGATACCAATGCCAGCCAGCGCCTACTGCATGCTGCACTACTATACCTTCTTTAGCATCTCTAGGGCCAAGTGTGTATGGGCTGCAATACTATGTCCCATTTTTTGAGGATGCTTGATTCCATACATTTACATGAGAAATGAGAAAGCATTTTCCAGTTAAGTGGCAAAATAATTAATTGTCGCCGTGATATCTAATTATTTATGTTGTTAGTAGTCTGATACATTTCACAAGATCCTAAATATGCTAACTTTGTCCGTGTTTTTATTTAGGTACAACACTTTTTCACCTGACATTGTAAAGAAAATGCCCAAAGCTGATCTAACTGAGGAGGTGATGCCAATTTCCATTGATTGAAGATTTAGCTTTTTGTTCTCTCCCTCCGTCCTAATGTTCAGCAATTGCTTTTAATTTTTGTGTTCACTAAATTGTAGGTCAGTAAATTTCAAATTGATTAAGGCCATGTTAATGCTAATTTTTATCAGATTTGGAGATTACAAGCAGCACTCAGTGAGCAAACAGAGATCACAAAGATTAGCCAGGAGGAGTGTGAGAGGCTTCAAAATGTAAAGTCTACACCTTCAACTGATTGTTTTAACATTGTAAATATGCAGATTCATTAGCTATTAGTGATGAATCTATTAGTGGTGCAATGATGTTTGCCTAGTTTATTTTCAAGTTGTTTGCTTGATTAGCAAGAGTCGCCTTAAGTAAGCTTTTTGTCTGGAACCGTTTACAGGTCCACCTTATACTGTGAAGTGCGCAATATAGTTGAAACAGTTATGAAATGTACTGGGGTCTTTAAGAGGTTACCCCTACTGTCTAATTTTGGATACCAACATATTTCCACTTCACATTTGACATATACCATACTTAGCCACTAGAAAAAGTTGGCCAAAGCAGTGGCCCTTGTTAATTGCGTGTGGTTCGTTAATGTTATTCCATTTCTTTTTCAGGCAAGTAAAATTGATGTTCTTGGAAACATGTACATAGAAAGTTCTTTTTCCCCTCTCCTGTACATGATGGACAACTAATTTTTAGGTTGTTGCTGGTTCTTCTTTCCCTATATAGGCTTTTAAGCTACCCTGTACCAACTGGCATAGTCCAAATTTGATGTAGCTAGTGTAGTTTAAAATTATGTTTGTGATCTAGTTTTTTGGTTATTCTCGTTCACATGCTTCCCTAAAACTAATTTGGCCTGATCTGACTATATTAGTTTGCTGGTGGTTTATGTAAATATCAATGTTGATATTTAGCTTAAAGCCACAATATTTGCATTGACTTCTCTACACTAAATTGATTTTTAACTTCCTCCTATAAAATATTGATATAACTAATTCTGCACTGGCTATATCACTATGATGTTGGAGAGACTGCAGAATGTTTTCCATAGATCCAAGCACTAAACTTTTCATGCCATAAAAGAAATGTTTCTGGAGATTGTGGTTGCTGTGGATTCAAACTGATATATATATATATTTTTTCATTTCAGTAGGTGCTAAATAACTAGTATGCTCTTACCAGATATTTTGTTTCCAGTTATTTTCTTACTAGATGTTTTGTTCCCCCATACTCAAACATAATTTGCTGCCTTACTGGAGAAGTGCAGTTGTGGCTTTTCTGATCAATTATTCTGAACTGTTACAGTTATTATTTGCTATTCTCTCGGTTGATTCTGTGCTCTTAATGAAAAAATGAAATATTGTTTGTACTCCTTTTCCCCATCTTCCTGTTTCCATATTATTGGAATGTACTTAACTCTCACATTGACTGGCTTACTTTATTCAGGAAAAGATCCTGTGTAGGGTTTGCTTTGAAGAACAGATAAATGTTGTGTTGCTCCCTTGTAGGCATCACATCCTTTGCAGGTATTACCTTAAACCCTTTGCAGCTTACAGCTTACAGCTTACAGCTTTCCTTTTCACAATTTAGTTTCCTTCATTTTTTTTCTGGTGAGAATTTGTACAACAGGTCAGATTTCAATGCTCTCAATTCCCCTTTTCACAAGCGAAAAAAAAAAAAGGATGGTTTACTAAAATGGATTCATTATGAAGGATACGACATGCAGCAAACAAATAAGATCCCTTTGCTTGAGTGAATACGGTTTTACAATTGGATTCCTCGAGTCACATGTTCACAAATTTCTTCTGTAGTGTCACTGCAATATCGTTGCCAATTATGAAAAAAAGGCTTTCTTTGGCAGCAATATTTCATACCATGTTGCCTCTACTTGAGAATAGCAATACGTAAATGATTATTTCTCTTTCTTATCTCTTAGCTCCTGCTGTGAGAAGTGTAAAAGGTGCCCCATCTGCCGTGTTGCTATTGAGGAGCGCTTGCCTGTATATGATGCCTAGTACCTATCACCATTCGCTTCAAGGTTTAGCCTGAAATAGGAGCTTCCTCTCATTATAGAACCTCAACTGCTGCTTATGACTGTCAACTGTAAGTAAAGCAAGCATCGATAAGTTGGTGAATGCAGTTTTTCCAAGTCATGTCACCATGTGTACAGTATAATACAAGAATTTGTATACATACTAGTACTCATCTTGCTGTACACTATTTTACTTCTTATATAAAGTTGTACATATATGTGCGTTTACAAGATTGTAAACTAAAGCAGGGTTCGATGAAAATAGCAGGTGCTGGTTGTTTATATCTCGTCGTATCATGATTTCAGTTTATATTTTTCGTTCTCGCTACTCATTCCATTAGAAGCCTTTGAACAATCACTTCTCGTGCTATTTCTAGAAATTTTAAAATTAGTCGGAATAAGATATGATTTCATAAAATTTTCAAATCTAAAATCGTCAACAAAAGTAAAAATTTACCATACTGCAACAATGTATTTGGCCCATCATTCTATCATTTTTCCTTAAGAGCAAGAAAGAGTTGATAAACTATTTTCAGTTTGACTAAATTTGAATTTATCTAGAGTCATTATCACCATGTTTTGCCGAACATTTTGTATTATGTCAGTCAAGCTGACCCATGTCATTACTGCTGTTGCTCTCAAGTCAGCCTTACAATAGTTAATGTAGTTGAAATAAGTTCTACCATGAATGAAGGTAGATGACTTGAACGAGGAAATTTCCAAAGTGTGTTGAGAATGAAGATTGTTATGAGGATATATACGAGGTGTATATGATTAATACCATGCTCCGATGCTAGTTATGTAGAAACTTTTTTTCACTTCATTGAACTCACCAAAATTCAAAATTTTAAAGTTAAAATCTCTAGGGTCCAATTTTTAATTAAAATAAGTAACTAAAAATTTAATGTATAAGTACCCCAGCCAAAATTGAAGTGATTAATTTGTAATAGCGGATGTAAACGTAGACTTATATCAGAAGATGGAAAGGTAAAAATATAGACTTGTAATAGAAAATACTATGTAGACTTTTAGTACCGTCAAACTAGACGTTATACAGCTCTTTTGGGAGGATAAATATTTGGGTGTAATCGTTATACCACATTAACAATGTCATATGTGTAACTGATCAATAATAAGTAAATAAGTCAACAAATGAATCCTACTAAAACTCATAATCACTCAATTATGTAATACATAATCACCTTTTATGATAAAAAGTGGGCTCCATTTTATTCATTTTATTATTGTTTTATTAGATGGTTACATTCAATATTTTTTCCTTCGGGAAGGGTTAATAAGATATTTCAGGTCAAAGTTTTAGAAAAAAAAAATACTGGAGGGGGTATATTCATTCTCTTGGGTCAAAATTTTAAAGAAAATAACCGTTCGGCATAGTAGTAGTATGTTCATTTTGTTCTCTAACTAGAGATAACTCGTATTTGAAAGTACAATATAATGTGAATAATTTTGAGAGAGATATTATTGGTTATTGAATGAGTTTATTTAAGACTATTGAATGAACTTATTAGAACTTACCATGTTTTATATTATAGATTATAAATGTTATTTCGACACTATTGGCAAGCCGGGCCATTTCGAATCTTTCAGTGTCGCGTTGCCTAGCTATGTCGTGTCCGCACTCGTGTCAGCGTGACTTAATTTACACCTTAACTCAATTTCAAAGTAAAATAACAAAAAATTAATATTTAAATTTAATTTATCAATCTAATTTATTAAATCAACACAATATATTAATATTAAATTTAATATAAATCTAATAATAATAATTTATCGTGTCAATAAATAAAGTGCAAATAATATCCCGCTAATAAAAAGACAACATTCTTGCTCATATAATTCTGATGACGAAGCCATTGTAAGGCCACCATGTAATAAAAAGCATTTTTCTTAGGTTGTACTGTGACACACCGACTCTTTCTACAACTACAACGACCAAACAGAACTGTAAACCCCATTCTTCATCTTATTTTTGTTTATATTTGCATTTTTTTTAATTGTTTTTCCTCGTCACGCCGTACAGAAATCGCAATTCCCCATTTCAAAACTCAAAATAAAACAATAAAGTAGGAGAAAAAGGTGGAAAAGCGGAAAGGAAATCACCCATAAAGACTACACATTGGGCATCATCGGCAGATATCCACAAAAGGGGAAGAAGATCTGAAGGAGACACACATGTGGATTTGATCCTTTGATCTCTTATCACTCATCCATGGCTGGGTAATAGCTTCTTTCTCTCTCATCTCTTTGAATACTAAAAAAGCCTCGTTCTCTTGGCTATTTGATATGGGTATACAGAAATTGCAATCTTTTGGTGATACTTGAACGTTTGACTCACGGTTGACTTGGCTTTTTTTGGAGTATGTTGAAAGAATGAACTGATCTGTGTTTGTTTGGGGTTCTCTGGTTAAGTAATGTAACTCAAATGGGCAGTTGTTTCAGTTTCTATTTTTGCAAAATAGACCCTTTTGGTTAAATATATGATTGATAAAGGTGGGTGGGTGAGATGATGGAATATGGTTTCAAAGTAAAAGGTCCTAACTCCTAATCTTGTCCTTTTCCCTATTTATCATGATCAATGCCTGTGAGTTGTTTGCAAGGTCTTCTTATGTTTGTTAATTACAGACCTTACGTTCACGTTACTGTTCATGGTCTAACTAGGCAAACAGTTTCTAATGCTTCCTTTTGTTTCTGTCATGTTTTTTGTTATTTACTTTATTGGGTAGGCAAATTTAGAAGGGATTTACTAGAAGGTTAGAGATGTACATATAATAATTCTTTTTTTGACATATACTAATATATGTGGCATCGGAATATTAAATAGGATGGTTGCCACCAAATATTTGAAATTCTATGTAAAACCGTTATCCATAATTTACCATTTCTAGTGAGACTTTGTTTAGCCTTTTTTTGTTAAAAAAAAATCAACCCATAATAATGAAATATCATTAATCCATAGCCAATTTTTTTATTCGGTCATTTGCTACCTTTCTAACAAACTTTTTTGAATTACAAACCATGTATGCCAGTGTTTCTTTTTAACCTCTTCTTTTTCCCACTTACCTTGTTACAAAACTAACTTAATTGTGGCAATAACACTGTTGGAATTAGAATCCAAGGGGCCAAAAGACTAGCTGTGATAAAATTAATACTTTTGTGAAGCAGTGTTGAAAAAGTAGGACTACATTGTCTTGATACAATTTTGATATGTTTGGAATTGGAACTGGAAAGTAGGACTTATTAGTAATTTACCCAAAGAACAATTGGATCACAAACCTTCAATGTAAGTTATTGGAAGGACCCTCATGATGGGTGATATTGGAAGTGAGCACATTGACGTGGCTAACAAGACATGTGACAGAATAAATTGTTGTTAGCAGTCACTTTGTGTTTCTGGTCATATTTAGAGTTTGTCATGGGCCAAAGAATTTCTTATTTTTTTGATTGATATAGTTCTTTGCAACCTTGATCTTTCTAGTTTGCAACAGATTGTGTAATGTGCTTGCCTTTCAAAACTCGTTTTAGGTCTCATATTTGCCGCACAATTTTTTGTGCATAGGCTCCTGGTATTTGTAATTCTGATGATTAAAGAATTCAATCCAGATCTCTTGGAGATGAAAACTTTTTATAAGTGCTCCTCATAGTGTAGTTAGGACCAGTTCATGATTATGACTGTAATTATCTTGTGTTAACTATGCAGACCATCATGGTTGGTTGACAGCAATAGAATTGCCACAAAAATCAGGAGTGCATCTGGTGCATGTGATCCTGGAAGAGTCGATTGGAAAAGCAACCCAAGTAAAGCTTGCCCAAATTGCCTACATATTATCGACAATAGTGATGTAGTATTCGCCTCTTATGCCTCCTGATATTACTCCAAATTATTTGACTGATACTAGTTGGAGCATGTGTTGACAACAGATATGCTTCATGCTATGAAGCGTTGACTGATATTCGTGAAGTTGGATATAGGATAAATAAATTAAGATCTTGGTATATTGTGGTCTCATTATTGTCTTGCGGACCATGAAGATACTATGTTTTAAAAGGCTACCTTTTGACTTTGCCAAATTAGAGACTAGACAAAAGTTAAATTTTTTTTATTAGGGTCCCAATGTTTTACAATTTATACAGTTTTGTGTTGCACTTGTTCTGTCAAGTTCACCTTCATATAAGCAACCCTCTCTCTCACACAGACATGCCCACTCACCAAGAAGAAACTTCCAGCTATTGTTCAAATCAAACACTAGACATCATTGATGTCAATTATCTTTTTGGGCATTCTTAGACTCTGTCATAATTCTTTTCTTATTCTTGATGCTACAATTTCAACTTCTTAGCAGTAATATTAGATAGATAATTGAATACATAATATTTAAGTTGTACCCCAACATGTCTGTGTTGTACTTTTTTGAAAACATTCATGTTGTCGTGTTCATGTCGAGTGGTATTAGTGTCCCTCTATGAAGCACGGACACTTTTGAGAAGGTGACGTATCTGTGTCGGACACCGACACTCTTTGATCACTTTTGGACACGTGTCCGATACTTTTTTATCCGTATCAATAATTAAATGATAAATTTTTAATTTCGAACACGTGTCCGACACTTCTTTGGAATGTGTCTACTACTGAACAATAGACATGTGTTGAAATGTGATTAACAAAACTTAAAAATTTTAGAACATATAATTACTAACACTAGACATGTTAAAGTTGTATTCTAAATATAATAATAAAAACAAAAGATGCATAAACGTTTTAAAAAAGAGGAATTCAGAAAATTATAGCAATTATTTAAATTATATATTAGCTACACATTATTTACAAAAAAAAATTGATGATTATTGATTATTATGAGAATTCTTTAGTTTAAAAATTTACACAGATCAGTGTTTTGAAAAGCTCGCCTAGGCGAGAAGCGAGGCGAGGCGAGTTTATCTCGCCTGGAGGACCCCAGGCGAAGCGAGAAAAAAAGCGAGAAAAAGCGAAAAAGCGAAAAAGCGAAGAAGCGAAAAAGCGAACGCTTTATTATAAAAAGCGATTCTGCTTCACTTTTTTTTTTTTTTTTTTTTTTTGATTACAGGTTAGTAGTCTCTTTTATTTTTTAATCACTATGACTTTTTTTTTAGACTATTGCTGGTCTATTTTTTTTTTTTCTAATAAACAATGTTTCAAACAAAACACATTCTTTTTTTTTCCTTGTGTTGCTGAATTCATTTAGAATATTTGTGGGATGTGGGAGTCAGGCGACTACACTGCATGACAATTATGATAAAAAAATAAAGCAGGAGTATCAGAAATGGGGGTAAATAATAAATTCTTCTACAAAGAAGTGTCTCTAATATGTCTTGGTTATACTTTTCTCTTTTCTTATATATATACAAATGGTACCAAAAAGTGGTCTATGCTTATACCATGTTTAATTATTTTAGTACATGTGAAATGTGCCTCTGTTCTGCTTTTTTTTATTCAGTATATAATTACATATGAAATTGTTTACAATTGATTCTGCTCTTGTCATGATCATTGTGCTTCTGTTTTTTTTTTAGCTCATTCTGCTTCTATTTTTTTTTGTTGATTCTGTTGCTGCTTCGATTTTGCTGTCCTGTGTTGCTTTTGTTTTTTTTTAATTGTCATTCTACTTCTTTTTTTTTTTGTTGCTAATTCTGTTGTTGTCCTGATTCTGCTTCTTTTGTTGTCCTACCCTGTCAATATGAAAATGTATACAATTGTTAGTATTTGTTTGAATTTAAATGTTTAAATTATGATTGTTATTAAGATTTGAGATATTATTAGTGTTTTTTTTAATTTAAATGTTTATGGTTTTACTTGCATTTAAATATTTAGTATATATAAAATTAGAACTTAGATTGTTTAGAAGTAATTAAACTAAAATATATATTTTTTTTAACTGTTCGCTTTGCTTCGGTAAAGCGTGTCGCTTCGCTTCTCGCTTAGGCGTTAGGAGCCTTGGTCGCTTCGGTTCGCTTTACGCCTTAAATAACACTGACACAGATGACTAGACATTAAATTTATTTATCATAAAATACTGAATCTTCTATAAATTGTATATATTTTTTTTTTGGGCAATTATGAATTATATATCATTATTACTATATTTACAATAAATTATATAATGTTATATATAAAATATATTTTTTTGTAATGTGTCTCCAACGTGTCCGTATCTTATTTTTTTAAGAAATGTAGTATAGGCGTATCCGTGTCGTGTCGTATGCTTGTCCCGTGTCCGTGTCCGTGTTTCTTAGGTGTCCAGGTCCAGGTCCGTGCTTCTTAGTCAATAAGTACCTTATTTCATCAGAGAGTAAGTGGAATATTGAGATAGAGTTTATATCTTACATGGAAAGTGTGCATATTTCTTTATCATTAATCATTTTAATTCTTGTAGAACTTGTTTAGAATGTGTTTAAACCTTTCTTGTTTCAGGTCACTCATGCGTGGCCAGGATTACCCAGAGGGGTGAAATTTGACCCATCCGATCCGGAAATTATATGGCATTTACTTTCCAAAGTTGGTGTTGGGAATCTGAAGGCCCACCCTTTTATTGACGAATTCATTCCAACTGTTGAGGAAGATGATGGAATCTGTTATACCCATCCTCAGAATTTACCAGGTATGTATAGGTTACTTTTTCCCCCCTCTGCTTTATTCCTTAGTTATCTTCGCTTAATTGAGTTCTAACAGTGTAAGTTTTTAGGTGTAAAGCAAGATGGTAGTGTATCTCACTTCTTTCACAGAGCAATCAAGGCTTACAGCACTGGAACTCGGAAGCGTCGAAAGATACATGGTGATGATTTTGGAGATGTTCGCTGGCACAAGACTGGCAGGACCAAACCAGTTATACTGGATGGGGTTCACCAAGGGTGCAAGAAAATTATGGTACTTTATGTGAGCTCCATTAGGGGTGGGAAACCGGTTAAGACTAATTGGGTAATGCACCAGTATCACCTGGGTACAGGGGAAGATGAAAGAGACAGAGAATATGTCATCTCCAAAGTATTTTATCAGCAGCAGCAAGTCAAGCAGAGTGAAAAAGGCGAAGAAGATATTCCTGAAGGCATTGATATGATGATTGCACAAGTAGATCCAATCACTCCCAAAGCTGTGACGCCGTTAAGGCAATTTTCTGAGTTTGACCTGGTTCAAGAGTCCACTTTTTGCATAGATCCCTTGGCTCAGGTGAAATGAACTTCTCTTTATCCCGTATCCTCAGTACATGTCCTTTTGATTTTTGCAAATGTTATCTGCAAATTCCTTAGTTCTTTTATCTTTTTTCTCTTACCCCTATTGCCTCCTGCTACTAAGTGAATCTATGTAGCTTTTCTTGAGGATTGTTTTAAGTCATTCCATTGGTAAATGTGTCAATGGGCCGCAGTGGAGAAGTCTAAACGACTTTGTAACTGATGCCTGGTTCGAGTCTCCTGGGGTTCTCAATCGCTGTATTCATTAAGGGGGACGGTTATGGCGTAGGTTCAAGTGGCCCTGTGACGAAAATGAGCCAGAAAAATGAAAAGGAAAATAATGTGGCATTAATTGCTTACTTTGGAATTTCCAAGGCACATCCTTACCAAGAGAAAATTTGTTGTGGAAAATGTTATGCACTTACATTTGTCACAGCTACTCATGCCAAATTAAATACTGACATTCTTTCCTTCTCTTTTTCCCCCGTCCTTTACATAGCATCATGAAATGGGTTTCATAGAAGAAGATGTGGAAGCTGCATTTGAGATGCCTGATTGTCCAGATCACCACCCTGCAGAAAATCATGCCGATCAACTGGTAGATAATAATGAGAATCAGGCTGATGAGGAACCAAAATGGTGGGACAGCGAGTCACAACATCTGTTAGACTCACAACAGCTTGTGGAAGGGCTGTCTCTGTGTGACGAGCTTCTTCAGAGCCAGTCTCCAAATAGGAATGGAAATGAAAATGACGGAGCACTAAAAGGCAAGCCCTGTCTTGCTGATTATGCTCAATTAGGACCAGAAAATTTAAAGAAGGATTTAGAGGAGTGCCAAGCTTTGGTTTTCGATCCAACAAACCTTGAACTTGATACACCTCCTGATTTTCGTCTGAGCCAGCTTGTAAGTTCTGCTATCTTCTCTGCCATTTTTTTCCCTTTGTATTGAACTTAGTGGTTTAACTCATGACATGTTATTTCCTGAATTATGATGCACTCCCAAATACTTCTGTAGGAGTTTGGATCGCAGGATAGTTTTCTTGCTTGGGGAGGCAACTAGATGGTTTGTGGGTCTTGATTTCATTCTCCCCCGTGGACAAAAGACTCCTACATTTTGGTAACCTTTTTTTGTGGAGACTCGGTCCTCTAATTTTGGGGGTTGGCGTACATGTAGGCGGTCAAGTACTGTTTACATTACATAATCTGGTGGTGTGTTGATCTCATGCTTTTGCAGGTTGAGAAACTGTATGTTTTTGGAGGTCCATAACTGTCTACCTGGTTTTGTTATTCAAAAATGTTGTCTCAAAAGCTTAATTTTAGCTAATGTTTATGTAAAATTGCAGCATCTGCTTCAGATATGCAAAATCTGTTGTTTTATTTTGTGCTCCTGATAAGATTTTTATAAACTTTGCATTTCTGGAAGACAATTCTGATTTCATGTGCTTAGGGGTTGCATGCAACGAGTTTGGTTGAAATACTTGTAGATTAGTGGACTGCCTATAGCTCCGGATATGGGTAGAGACCTGATGATGCTATAAAAGTCCATATTCTTTTAAAAAGGTGCCTGGATACATTCATGTAACTTATAGTCTCACAGGTCATAGAGGAAGGGTGGTTCAAGGGCTCAATTAACACAAAAAAAGTTCAGGGTTTCATTGACACAAGGGTCATAGTTTGATAATTATATGTATAGTTTACTTCAGGTCATAAGGATTGGCTTGAAAATGGCACGAGAGCAAGGATAAAAAGTTCATATTTTTTTTTCTTACCGATACGACCAAAATATTTCTGCTTCAATGGAAATTAAAACGAATAAGTGGCTGAATATTTCTAATGTTTTGAGGTGTTTTGACAGTGGTTTTGGTGACATTTTCAAGGAACTTTTTTTTTCCTGTTTTTTAGTATGTTTTTGAAAACATTTCTAAGATGTTTTTGTTTTCCACCAAATTCTTTGTTTTTTTGATACTTATATGAGACCACTGGGCCTAGCCTTGTTTCGAGAGGGTCCCCGGTGCTCGTTGATGGGCTGCATGATTGCTCGCGGGGAGCTGCACGATGAAATTTGGATAGAATTTTGATTGATCTGAATTAAAATATGAACAAATTTATAAGAAAGTGCAAAATTGTATTTTTAACCACACAATAAAAAAAAAAAAAAAAGAGTTAACCATCAGTTCATTGGATTCTGAGTTAGATGGATCCACGCATAATTCGTAGGGGTCTTTGATTATAAAAAAAAAAAAAAAAATTCCAGCTAGTTCCCCTTCCTATTGTCCCCGTGAGGTAGAGTACTCAAATTACTGGTTAAAGTGGAGTCAACAACTCCGATTTTTAATAAGTGTCATAATTTTGTAAATAGGTTTAAAATTTTTATATTTTGATAAATTTATTTTAAAATTATCGTAGAATAATAAATACTACCAAAAATTATTTCGTAAGAAAAAAAAAACAAAAATGAATACTCATCTTTATAGGATAGAGAACTAAGCTTTATCCAAAAGACTGAAAACATCTAGTTCAAGTACAATTTGCTTTCAGATTCAACTTTCATCCATGATGAAAAAATTGTGGTCCTTAGGCTTATCTGAATGAGCGAGAGGAATGTATATTATTGTATATACGATTTATTTATTTTTCATGAATATTTTAATTTTGACGGGTTTGGACTACCTTTCAACGAACTAGGGAAAAGATTAGTGTAGAATTTGAGATGCGTGTAAATTGATCCGAACACCCTTGATTATTAAACTAAAAAAAAATTGGTATTATATAAAAAGTTACAACCAATCATGTCAAGTTGCCACTCAAACATGTTAATTTATAATTCAATGAAATCAAATTAGAATCAATTCTAAATATTTGAATTTTATTTAATCTATTTTTTTTTTTTTTGGTTAAAGTTTCGCTGGACATCTACCATTTTTAAAAATAGACGTGATCTGAATAAACCTTTCAAATAAAAAAACAAAATATGTGCACACGTATGAGGAAGACTATTGTGCTAATGTCTTTAATATTGTATAAAAAATTATAATTTTTTTATTATGTAAGTTATAATTATAAAAAATATGATTAATTTTAAAATATTATAATCGAGAATAAAAATTATGAATTTTTCAAGAAAAATGGATGGGGGTGATGATTGGAAAAGAATCTTGAGACAGTGGGCGTGGGGGTGGGTGGTGGGGGTAGTCGTAGTAGTGGTGGGGTTGGAGATGAGGAAGTGCACGTGGGGGAGGTTAAGGCTCTGCCACTTTCAGCGATCACGTTATGTCGGTTCCTGTTTGAGATGGCAACTCTTATGTGGCCGACAACAGAATATTAGATTCACGATTCAGCTCCTGTTCAGCCTGACACTATCCGGAACCCACAACCCCTGTTTTTCAACCTTTTGTTTTTTTTTTTTACTAAAAAGATTATTCCTTTCAATTCTAAAATTGATCATCGGTATGATTTGGATTTGATTTGAATTTTAATCGATTCGAATTCAAATTTAATTTCAAAAGTCTGATTTGAATTTAATCTGATAAATCAATGGACTTTATTTTTTTGACATTTATTTGAATTCGTTAACAAATTGAAATTTGACTTGATTTAAATAATTTAATTAATTAAATTTTAACAAATTATACTTAATTTTTTTAACATTTTATAAAAATATATAAATAATTTGGATCAAAAAAATATGAATATCCAAATTCGAATCTGTTAAATATAAGATGTTGAATTCAAATTTGGGTTTAAATTATCAGTAAAAAAATATTACTCCATTTTTGACTAATCGGATTCAAATAAGAATCCGTTACCATTGACAGGCCTGACTATAGCTCAAACTAGTTTAAAGATATATTTTATGGGTTGGTTTATTAAGCAGGAGAATGGTAAAAAATGTAATAAAGAGAAATTTCTTAAATTTTCACGTGTTTCGTTAGCAAAAAAAAGAAAAATGATAGAAAAATAATTTTTTTTTGTGATTGAATTTTCTCACAAATAACTAATTTTTTTTTTTATAAAAAACACAAGCAAATACAAGAAAGTTGTATTCTATAAGTAACTTTTTATTTTACCTTTATTTTTTTTAAATATTTTATTGGTTATTAATTTTAAAAATTTTTGATATAAATTTGATTAATCATATAATTTGACCCAAAGACCTTTATATTGATGATTGTTCTAGAATTAAGTTTTAAGCCACTTTTTGAAAATATTTTATTTTTCAATTATAATTACATATTTTTTTTATACCGATTTAATATAATTAAGAATAATTTAGACAATTATAAAATATTTCGTATAACTTTCTTTTCTTTCAACAATAAAATGAATTTTTTTAAAAATTTTCTTGTAAATATTTCATTCCAACTAAATAAATGCATAAAAATATATTTTTCTATCTTTTTTATTTCTTTCATTTCACTTTCCATAATTTTTTTCTTTCTAATCAAATAGACCTTAAAGAACAAAGATAACTAATCCTTAATAAGTGTAAGAATTATTAAATCCGAGCACTCTTACTTACGATGAGTCTTTTACTAAATTTGCAAACTGTCCTTTACCCAATTTTAGAGAGATATTCTCAAATTCAACCAACCAACCAAACAACCTCTAGAGACAATGCTTGGACTATATAATTAAAATGAGTGAACATCTCTTACTGACCTAATTAAAAGACCCAAAAAAAAGAAAAAAAGAATGAATGATCATGTTAATGCTCTTTAGTTGAAGACAAGAAAAACAAGCTTATCTTAGGGATTCGGCTATGATACCGAATTTTTTTTTTTTTTGATATTATATATCTATTTTTCATATTTGTGATTATTTTTATCACATTTGTAAGTCTTTTTTACCACCGTTGCAGTATCCTAAAAAATGATAAAAAATAGTTCTCACAATAGTGATAAAAACACTCACAAATATAATAAAAATATCCACAAATGTGAAATTTTGTTAAATTTAAAATGTGTGATAAAAATTTATATGTGATACCGAATTTAAAAATTATTAAAAAAACCATTAAAATAATAAAAATTAAATATATGATACCGAATTTAATTTTTCGGTGCCGGAGTCAAGTCCTTATCTTAGATATGGTCAATCTCTTCTTTAACATTATGCCACCAAAATCAATCATTCATTATGATAAATATTTATATGTGATTATGACAATGGTTGGGAGTGCTTTTTAACAGCTACCAAAGGTCGAAATCTATAATCATCATAACAATCCTCAGTCATACCACTTTTAATTATTTATGGGCCTACCATTTACCTATGTTTCTCCCCCCAATTTTAGCTCTTTACTCTCCTTCAATTATTTCTAGTCTTAGGAGCTATATTGGCTCTAGAAGGAAAAAGTATATGTCTAGTGGCATTTGGTCAAAGATAAGATAAAGTATTAAAAGAAAATAACAAATGACCTAGATAATTATAAGATTTACACTTTCACTCAATTTTATTCACATATAAGAGGACTGGTTAGAAGACTTTAATACTCATGTGACATTGTTTCCAACAAAGGAAGTTTTTCATTGCCTATCCAATTCTTTTAAATGGGAAGATGAGGAGAAATTTACCGCTTTCGTAGTTGAATTATCAATAGGACCCTTAAGATGATTGGGTTAAAAAGTTTTTTTTTTCAATTTAATTTTAGTTTAGTAATTTCATGTTCAACTTAAATCACTGCACCAACCAACTCCTATTTTAATGTCTTTAAAGAAATCTGAAGTTTCTGCACAATTTTAAAAGGGGATTTCTAGTAGAGAAGAAGGATCAAATGCAAAAGGTGTAAAACTATGGACAAACCATACCTTGATTAAGTAGCTTTGACCTTTATATATATAAGGCTCTAAGGTGTAAAATTGAGATGTCGTGAGCTTAATTTTTGAAAAGTTAATGGAGTTAAATTATAAGAAATTTATTTTTCATGAATATTTTAATCTCAACATGGATGACTAGTCTTTGACCGGATCAAATAAAAAATTAATTTAAGTACACGTAAATTAGTCTAGACACTTTTAATCGCTGAAAAAAAAATTCAGAAGGCTCTAGAGAACTCTACATCTATGGATCAATCTTCAATTCTCCATGCCTGCACTCTCTCTCTCTCTCCCTTACACACTCACAGAGACACACATTCACAGGGTCTCAATTATCTCCAACTTCCAACATTGATCTCATGTCATAAGCCTCTTAAGGATGGGCAGAAATAAGAGAGAAGAACTTTTAACATCAAAATTTTTAGACCATGCTGAGTTCAATACCACAAACTAGCCATCAACACAAAACCCAGGTGACAAAGACTAAAACTGCATGTGAAGAGGAAAGGAAGAAAACTTTTCAGAACTATACTTTGCTAATCAAAATCCAGAGTTTTAGATTAAGCTATCGGATGTTTACATCAAGCCCATGAGGCTAATAATTAGTACAAAATTGTTAAATTCTAGATAAGATTCGCCATCACTATT